TATATATATATATATATATGTATATATATATGCAAAAGCTGGTAACTGAGTTGAGATATAAGTGTGAGAAGTTTGTATTTGTACAGTGAAAAAAATGGGGAAGTGAAGTGGCTGATTATGCCTAAAAAAACACTCAAGAGTCGAAGCAAATGTACAAGTGTCTATCTATCGATTCCGCCGTCAGTCTTCGCTCGAGGTTTCTTTCAGTTCGGTTCGCATAATGCTCGGTAGAACATCTCGATGAACTGATCATCCTGTTTCACCAACCCAGCAAACAAGCAAACAGAGAGAGAGAGAGAAACATCAACTGCGGATGGCCATTTCGGTTTTAGAGAAATATATATACCCATTTGGTTTTTATATCGGATTCGATACGGCTACGAGTTATTCGGTTATCAACTGAATTGGTCACCCCTGGTCGCACCCATCTTTTCGAAAGTGTAAGGGTATTATGGTAATTATGTAAATACGAGATTTAACTTGGGTTTCATACGTACTGTCTATATATACATTAACCTACATCAGAAAGACGTACCTGGACCAGCCTTAGAAAGGCATTGCGGATTTTGTCTCTGGTAATGCCGAAACCAGACGGAGCTAAAGATTGAGGGTTAGTAGCAGTGGGCAGGAAAAGGTCGTGTATTTGAACGCTATGAAGATTCTGCAAATTCCGAGTAACTATTGGTGCCTGTGACAAAGACTGCGTAAAATGCGGTGCTATATGGGTCGAGTCCGAGGAATGAGGCGGCGCGTAGAATGAAGAAGGCCGGATGAGCACGGTTTTAGGGATGGAGCTAAGACGGAGGTTGGATATCTCGTGGTTCAGTGTCGGGATAGAGGATGTTTGTAAATTCCCCGAAGCAGCGTAACTTACACTCGGACTTTCAGAAGAGATGGGAAACTTTGGAGCATTTCTTGCTTTACTTATCGCCGCCTGCAGAGATGAATCAAGATAAAGATGGTATTAGAGATAATATATACGAATCTTTGATAACATGTCAAGATTTGCGGAATAAAATCTTGTTGTTCGATTGACCGAGCAACGTATATATATACAATAGAAAATCATAATCCTACTAGGAAACTAAATCCGAAAGTATACTATTAAAAGTCTATTAGGATAAAATACCAGAGATTCATATATATCTCCGATAGAGGGACAATAACAGTTGGAAATATATCTTCAAATTCAGAAAGTGTGTATTGTTGGAAACGTACATTGAAGAGATCCATCAGTTTTGGTGTTCCAGTTGTAGAGCCAGGCGATGGATCCTCATACTCGCTACATTAAGTCGAAAGTGGAGTTAAGTGAGAAATCTACACAACAATGTAGATATAATCGGAAATACAAAGATATAAATGCCAAGAGTCGGTCCACAAACGGCATGCCTGTATGCTTATTTATTTCAATCAGTGCATCCGAAAATTCATTGGCCAGTTAAAACATATGCCCAGTAACTGTCCGAAACTATACCCAATAGACTAAGGAGCAATAACATGACCAAATTCACGAGTGTATTCCATGATCGAATGGATAGCTTCTTCTGAGATATGTAGCAGCAGAACAAATCAATTTGAATATAAAATCGGAATGCTACTCTCACCTTTCGATCGGGGCTACTCTTGTAATTTCATTCTGAGGAGATTTTGTATAGACGCTAAGTATCCTGCAAGAGGAAATGATCGATTCACCCGAGAACTACCCGAAAGAGATGATAGAAGTCTCATTAATCTTCATAAGCTTCTTTCATAGTCAATGTCATGTTGGTCACTATTTCAGAAGGAATGCCTGAGATGAAGATATTATACCTACGCAAGAGATTTCCAGCCTCTTCACATTCATTTGGATTGAAAAACCAAATTCCGTTAACTTCCTGAGCGGCGTTTCGAGATAACAAATATGGACATTGAATGTCGAACTCAAAATCTTCAAGAAGATTCTCCACCCAATTATCTGCTCGTAAAAAGTAGCAAAAGAATCAGATGAGAAACATTAGGACACACATTATTCTTCATTATAAGAGCTAAGACCCAGGAAAAGGATTTCCAATAGATCCTACATGCGACATGACACCGGTGAAATGATTTCTTGCAACAAAATTTTCTAAAATTTACATAAGCTATGAGCTACAACAACTGAATCGACACAAAGTTATATCAGCATAACATAAACTACTCATCTCAGTACCGAAACGACACATCCACAACAGAAAGCTAAATCCGAACCTGCGCCGAGTTGATTCATGACGACAAACTGAAATCTCGGCTGTGTATTCCTACAAGAACAAGGTACCGAATCATCTTCATGTTTAAAATCCTATCGCACAACAAGAACAATGCAGCGATCAAACACTACCTCTTAACCACAAACAGAGGCCCTTCGACTTTCTTGCGATCCTGCAAAGAACAAATTCGGGTCAATCGATGCTCTCTTGGCGATCAAATCCGTTCTTCGACAAAGAAATAGAAGGAAACTTCAACTACTTTATCGATTTCGCGAGAGAACCAACCAAAGCCGTCCGTATCAGCTCACACACAGCACGATACAGCTTTAACCAAACAGGAAACAGAACGGCCAAGCATAGATGCAAAAGGAAACAAATTTTCTTGCGTTTTCTGGGAAACCAAACAAACCATCGAGAAAGTTGGGAAGAAATGGACGAGAAAACGCACCCACAGGTGGCCCTCGGTGTCGAACACATACAACACAACGTGAGAGGCGGTGAAGAGAATCTGCTCGATGTGTTGATCGAATCTCTGCAACACACCGAGATTGATCTGTTTGGTCGCCTCAGGATCGAGATTCGGAGTTAATTTTCCGGGCTGAGACATTTTCGGACGAGATTTTCTCGGCGATTTTCCCGTAAAGATCAGAGTCTTCGCAAAAGCACTGGAGTAAAAATTTTCAAACTCGATCTGACTCGGTTGACCTTATATACCTTCGTCGCCGAGTCGGAGCCTCTGTGACTCGGTCTTTTCCTAAAATTACGAAATTGGCACTGCCTCTGAATCCTGGGAGAGGGCTCTGAAACAATGATATAATGTCATGGATATAATAAATATTATCTCTAACCCTTGCTCTGTTTTCATATTCAAAACAATTTAGAACTATAAAAATGAAAACACAATATTTCTGGACAATGACAATATATATATATATATATATTTTCTATTTTAGAAGGAAGCAATCCTATCAAATCCCCATTACATTCTGTAATCCAACACAATCAAAGACATATATATATAATATGAACACACATTCACATCATTCCATGTAACACAACATATATAACACAACACAACACAACACGAGATTGAGATCTTTCAACACTTAATAAGAGCATCATCAGTTCCTCTTGAGAGCCACGGCCGAGACGACGATCAATAGCATGAAGAAAACAACGGCGACGGAGGCGGAAACCACGGCGCCACTCACGCTCTGACAGAAGTCTCCGAACTGTTGGCAGATCGGAAGCCAGTTTGTGTTGGGGTTTCCGTTGTGGGCCAAATACACTATGGATGCCGCACCGGCTGAAAAAAAAAACAAAATTAAACTCAATTCGGAGAAGAATATATAATGAGTCAGATCAATGTATAATAACAATCTTGTAAATCTGTATTATACATACATTCATATATATATATATAGAGAGAGAGAGAGAGATATGGTAGGTTTGGAAGGGTACTCACAGCGTCGAAGATGAGGAGGAGGAGCCTCGGTGCAATGGCGAGTGGACGAACAATGGCTACGATAGAGAATGGAAGCGACAGGACCAGATATCCCGCCACTATCGCCATGGCTATCAAGAAGAACCTTCAAAAAAACACAAATAATATATGTTTTTTTTTGTATGACAAAAAAAAACAGGAACAGAAACCACCAACACAAAAATGGACGTACTGAAACACGGGAAGATCATCGTAACTAGCTTGGAACTGGAAGAACTGAGTGAAGAAAGGGAGAGTCTCCTGTGCCATCCCCATCACGACAGCCGCTGCAATTGTGGAGGCGATGGCGGCTAAGCGGAGGAGGAAATCGAATATGGCTAACCCTCTCTTTGAACCAGCGGCTTTGGTCCCGGCCACTACAACGCTCTTCTTTGCCTCGACCTTGTCAGCTTTGGTCACCGAGCTCGGCTCACCGACATCAATGGTGGTTGATTCCTTAGCCATCTTTAGGGTTTTAGGGTTTGAAGAATGCAAAGTTGAGATAAGGGTTTAGGTGTTTATGCTTCAAGTTGCGGTGGGAAACAATGGGGCGTCGACAAGTGTATATATAGTGATTAGGGACATTAATTAAGGTTTAGGGATATAATTGTTAATTTTTATAGTTTGATTACGTTTGATTCTGGGGTTATTTGATTCGTTAGCGGTGGATATGTAGAGGAGTTGTTGGGTCTTTACTTTCTCCACTATTGATGGGGGGAACACACATAACGACAATAACATTTTTTTTTTGTAAATTTAGGACCGAGAATAATATAATCAAAACGGATCGAAATTTATAAAACTAGTTGTCAACCATTAATGGCAAGTAAATGTGTATAGGGATATATTATTTTTTATTATTAATCGAACAACTGAACCAAATCGAATAAAATATCACCGTAATTAAATTGAATCCGATATAAAAATCAAATATTTGTGATTTCTTTAAACCCAAAATAACCCAATTGAATAAAAAATAAACGTTAACAAAAATGAATTTTTTACATATAAAAAACCAAATCCACCCATTTGAATACGATCTATAAGTTAGTGTCTAAAACCTAAAAATAAGCTATATTAATAATTAATAATAACTAAAATTTATAAATTATACATATTATAATAACACGTGTACTTCTCAACGAGACCGGAAAATACAAGGGACAAAACTTTCTCTCCATACAAAGGCGGATGAAGGGTTCGGATGTTCGGATCCATGTTCAAATGGCCGATGGGGAGGAGATTGCAAAATTTTCTTCGGACTATAGAGACATAATGGGACGAGGGACGAGGGTACAGTGAACTTCCGAATTAAAAAAAAATGGCGAATAAAACAATAGAATTTAACGCAAACATGAATTAGGATAACGTTGTAAAGAAAACTGCTTAAAAATACACCACTTAGCTACCTAATACAAGTTACGTTCATAAATAAAATATTTATAAACCCATGTTGATGACGGGCCATACAATATATTCCAAGATAAGAATACAGGATAATATTAGCCCTGTCAGCTTCACTCTAACGATACATATACTGAATACATGTATGATGTATAGATACACACACACCGGAAACTAAGGATGGCAATAACTCTCCGTCCTCGTGTTGTTAACATCCCACTTGAACCCGCAATTTCACATTAGTCGGGAAAGCTCGAAAGAGAAAAAACCACTTAGCACTTTTATGCGTCCATGACTTGTTATTTCACTTTCATTCTTCTTAAGTTCATTATTTTGTTTTGCTTTGTGAATTCCAATATCTACATTACCGTTTGATAATCTCATTTGTCCGATTGTTTATATATATAATATTTACCGTTAATAAAAAAAAGAATCGGCAAAAACTAATAACTAAACAAAAAAAAAAAGATAAATATCGGAGGATTCGGCAATTGAAATATCAGATAGCAAAGAGTTCGAACACACTACATGGCATAGTCATCTTCGCCAACCTCCACTAACATGTCGGCTATACTGACAACACTCTCGACAATTGTTGGAGTAAGATCCCGGAAGAACAAGAAATCAAACCTATCACACGCATTTAAAGCCGAAACAGCGTCAAGATCACCGATCCAGTCACACTCAATGGCCCTTTTCAAAGACAGAACAGCTTCGGACTTCAACTTCTCCAAGACATGAGGATCCCTCGAAGCCTCGAACACTTTCTTGCAGGTTAACATGCACTGTCCGATATCATGACGACCCTCCCATCCCATCTTCATTATAATCTCCCCCCATAAACAGCTTGGCAACGTTGAAAAGTCGACCTTAGATTCGGAATCCCCTTCCATCTCAGAAGAGAAAGCAATTGGAGGGTTTGCGTCTTTTGGGTTTTAGAGTGAGAACACGGATGATATGCATGATTACATATATATACATATATGTATGCATGATTTTGTAGCACCGAATGGTTGTTTCGATTGAATTATGTAATTAACAATATCATTGGGAATTGTTTTTTTCGATTTTGGTCGAGTTAGGTGCATGAAGGAATGCTTTGGGAATCTGTAAACTAGTTAATGATGGACAATGTAACATTGGTGCATGCATGCTTGCATAGAGAATGAGTCGAACAAAATTTTTAGGGACAGTAACCTAGAAAATATAATAGTATTTTTTGTAAAGCTTTTGACCTGAAAATACCAACTCAATTCCCTTTCTCTAGACATTAAAATTTTTTCTATGGCTTTTAATTCAATGTCCTAATATCATGACCCAGAGTACCACGACATATACAGTACTTGAGAAATTTAAATTACAAAAACAGATCAAAATGCGATCGATTATGTTGGTTTGTTATTAGTAGTAGAGTTGGGGGTTTTGGTATTCAGTTTCGGGTTCGGGTTGGGTCTTTCAATTTTATAAAAATAAGTATCAATCGGCTATTATATTACATTCGACTCGATACGGTTTAAGTTCAATTCCAGTTTTTATTTTAAAAATAGATATTCTTCAAAAATGTTGGTTTTTCAGTTTTTTAAAAATTTCGATTCCATATCAAACAATTCAATTTTCCTAAATTAAATATAGATCGAAAATTTTGGACAATCCGAACAACAAAAATACCGAATTTTGTACGATTAGGGCCTTCGGAACCAAATCGATCACCCCCTAATTACTATTATGAGATGCATTATCTTGATAAACTCCCACCGTACGTTTGATGTCTATTTATAAAAATTTAACAAACTAATAACCAAAAAATTTTATACAAGACAACAAATACCATAAGATAAAAAAATAGTACTAAAATTCAAGCCCGTCTCCAAAAAATTTGTTTCCCTAAACCTCGTCGCATGCCATTTTCGATCACCACATGCCACCATCATAAAACCAGAAGCAAACAAGACCGATACCAAAGGTCACGACTCTTAAGTACCGCTTTTGCCGTTTTAGACCAATAGAAATAGTTGTCTCCTGTTAGGATTACAGGAATGACTTTGGCGGAAAGGATTTCCATTGGTGATGATTGATTAAAACCGAAACAGACAGAAGAACAGAAAAAGAGGGAAAAAACAACCGATATCACCACCCTAGAGGCTCTGATACCATCAAAACACTTATGTTTAGATCGAAGAAGACACAGGAACTTGAGAAAGGAATGCTCTGTATATTATTCATTTACATCGAGAGGTATATATATATATATATTGAAAAAATCAAATACAAGAGAAAAATAGAAATAAAATAAACACACGACAAATATAAGGTAAATGTACATTTAAGTGGAACTAATTTATGGAGATTCGACCTCAATTACCAAACGGCTAATTGTGTAGAATATCTTCTGTTGATATGTTTCTTTGGGTTCTCTTGCCTTTGTTGATAGTTGCTTGCTCCTCAAGTAAGTCATTTTGCTGGGTTTCCTCACAAGCACGTGCAGTCTCCTCTTCGTCTGGACCATATGCTTCAAGTGTTGGCTCAATTCCAACACAATTATGGCATATCCCAAATATAAAATCATTAAATATAAATACAACAAATATAAGTGATTATGTATTATCGCTCAATTTGCCAGCAATAACAACTGTTAACGACAACAAGGCTTTTCGGACTCGGATTTTGTATTTTAACCGATATTGCACAAACCAATAGAGATTACAAAATCTTTCAAGAACCAATAATTCCGGTGGCAACCTCTTTACAACACTGAAAGTATCATTTCTTGAATCAAGCGAAAGAAGACGAGAGAAAAACCAGGTCGTACTCCAAGCACAAGCGATGGAAATTAGACCGCCTCATAAAAGCCTCGTCCCCATGAAAGGTGCAGTCGACGTAATCACAGACATTCAAAGCGTGAATAATCGCACGAACACTGTCCGTATGCAAGTGATCAACTCTATAGCCCTTATTCTTCAAAGAAAGAACAGCCTTCGAACTCAAAATCTTCAAGATGTACGGATCCATGGACGCCTCCAACATCTTCTTGCACGTCAGCATGAACGACCCAATATCGAGACGCGATTCCCATCCGATCTTCACCAGAACCTCTCCAAGTATACAGCTTGGTAGCATCAACAGATCGAGTTTCGGCTTCGACCCTGCATCTCCCTCCATCATGCCCAATGCAAAAAAAAAAAAAAAAGAGCTTTTAGGGTTTTGGGTAGAGAGAGGACCTTTTTGGATCGATGCATGTGGTCCGGAAGTGAAAGGGTTTGGTGTTTTTATAGAACCAAGCGATTGTTTCGATTTAATTTTGGTTTGGATTGGTTGAATGAAAAATGTTTTTTTGGAATTGTACACTAATCAATAATGGTAATTAATCGTTTGACCGTCGTCTCACAATTTTCTAGGGAATAAGCTGCTGCTGGCATTGATATTATTGGATTGGATGAGATCACACATATTAATAGTAATTAGACAAAAAAAACCCTCTAATATGTCATTTAATTTTGATGCTATCACTTTCTTTTTTTCGTTCATTTGATGAACTTAAAACATTTGTAACAACAATAATTTTTTTTATTACACAGAGTAACCGATACTGAAAAAAAAACATACATAACCGGTTTAGCAATATCCTTCTTCAAAACAATTTACGGTTTGGTACTGTTTTGGTTAGTTTCTGTAGAACCGGGTATTTATGGGTTTGGTTAAAATTCGTGGACCGAACCTCCGGCCCAAAAAGCATTTGAACTGAAATCAGATTTTTCGGGTCGACCCGTTTGCTAAAGAATTTGACCCGACCGATTAAGCACTTTCAATTATTCGTTTTCCCTCTCTCTCTCTCATGTTTGGCTGCCGACAAAACAATGGAGAATTTGCTTCTGAGATTTATATATATATATGTTCATTTGGTGCATAGAATCTCAAGTGAAGATTTAGGGTTTAACCCCAGAAAGAAAGTGGACGTAGAAAACGTTACTCTGATTTCATGGGATTGAATTAAAATGACATGGTTCATTTGACGCGGACATTTGCGGTCGATATTTTCCTCACATAACAAAATAGTCAAAGTAAAATTTTGTTATCGATGTGACTTTGTCCTCTATCGTGTTTGGAACCATTTTCATTTTTACGGTCACACCCTCGAACTCGAACTCATGCATGTGGCCAAGTTGTAGACTCTATGGTACGGTGCCTTGACCTACAAGTCTTCTGGTCAAGTTTGAGTATTCGATATAAACGACAACAGAAGATTTGTTTTTTTCAAGCGAAATTTGCGTCGTGTGAATGCTTCGGTCTTTCTTCCTTTGTCTGCATTCGTGTGTTGATGTATCTGCATCTTCCATGAAAGCACACGGACAACGTCGACAATTTTCGTACCTTTCTTTAAAAAAAAATTACGTGTTATATCAATAATTGTTAAATCTGTTAATTTTTCCCTTTTTGTTCATAATGAAATGAAGAAAGCGGGAAAATTTAATTATATATTTATTTTTAATAGAATATCAATCCAAGAATATACGAAATACACTAAAAACACGTAAGAGACAAAATCTTGTTTTTTTTTTTTTTGATAACCAGGATGGTTTCCGGGCTTTCGGCCTGATTACATCCACCCTAGACCCGGGACCGGCCTTTGTATATGGACCATTTTGATCCAGAAATTACATCCCTCCCCATCAGTGGAATCGAACCCATGACCTCGAGGATGACTTTACCACCTCTCAGCCAATGGCCAAATTTCTTGCTAGCGAGCAAAGACAGCGAAGTTCATAAGAAGAACAACGACTCTTAGCATTGACTATAGTTATATAATGCAATCCTTCGAAGTACAAAACAAGTGTGGTCATTATATTTTGTCCATCAAATGTAATCAAAGAACGAATCGAGTTGCTGCTCCCAAAACATTTCATCAATTAACACCATGTCTGTGTTGCCATGGTGATTTCCCGATGATGATGATGACGAAGATGGTAATGATGATGATGAGCTATGATGATGATGATGATCTTGTTGTTGTTGTGGAAGGCTTGCGTTAATCTCAGCCGTATGACCATCCCCAAGATTTTGAGCTAGTGGTTGAGAATGAGTGACTAAACCGGTTTGGCTTTGGCCTTGATTAAAATAAATGTTGGGGTTAACCGGAGTCTGTGGCTGCGGAGGTGGAGGCGGTGGCTGAGGTGGACGGCGGTCAAACGACCTCAAACGTGATGATTTCGTATATACTCGGCATATACTATAATCTTGTCTCATCTACAAAACCCAAATCCAAAAAGAATGGTTAAGAAATTCTATTAGAGTTTACATCCGGTTTGGTTCGGTTTAACACGGATTAGTATGCAAAATCTTAATTGGTAAGTAATTGAGCATAACCATATATATAAGCATTACACATAAGAGACTAGAGTGAGAATAATCACTCACCGCATGAGGAGGAATAGTTGAAGCAGAAGACACTAGTAACGACGATGATGATGGTGCTTGATGTTGATGATCATGATGATGATGAGGGTGATGGTGATGGTGATGGTGATGGTGATGATGTGGCTCAAGTGCAGTGTACTCATTCATCCTCCACTCAGTTTTAGTACCGCTTGGAGCTCTTCCCGTATAAAACACCATCGTTCTCTTCCCTCCGACCGCTACGTCATTGGTATACACATAACCGAACGAACCGGTCGCTTTCCAATAACCGGCCGCAGTTAACCGGTTGGGTCTCCATCCGGTTTTCTCACTATCTCTTCTCGACACAAAGAATATCCATTGCTCTGGATCTTTCTGCCGCGTCATCGTTTCCCATATTTCTATATCAAAGCAATAGCAATTTCTTAGAAATTAAGAAAAAATTCGTTAAAAAAGAACTACTCCATGGTTGCATCATGTGTGTAGCTATGAATTAATATAACATGAATATGTGTAAATCAACATACATAACTTTATATATATATTAGTATTTTTCCTATATATACATCTTAGGGTTTGTGGACACCTAAGACATATATAGTATACGTCCACATGCAGCATATATGGCCATTCTCCGACAAAGAACCTAGGAATAAATGAATGTGAAATTGACAAAATAAATCAAAGAGAATGTGATCCTAATAAGGTATGTGCACTTATATCGGTCTAAGATTCTCTTCCCACTCCAAAATTTTAGAATTTTTGTTTGTTAACGTGGAAACTCAGCCACAACCCTTTGGATGCATCGACAAAATCACAACCCTACGTAATAGTCTATAAATCACGTAAAACAAATAAACCATCCAAATGGTGACAAATTCGTTGTAGAATGCAATCGAACGCATGACATCTTGGAGAATTATATACTATTTTGTCACTACATATATGAGGCTTCGAAAGATTCCTAATTTATAGACTTAGTTCATATATATGGATTTGTACGTGCAAATAAATACCAAAATTAACACACACAAAAAAAAGATTCTTTACACCGTTAATGAAATGAAATATGGAGAAAAATGTTTGCGAAATGTAGAAAACATCAAGAAAATAAAAATACGTGGAAGATCCGAGGGATCGCAATCGTAGATGTCGACGGTGGGGATGACGCAATCGATGAGTGGGCTTAGGTTTAGGTCTCGTCGGCTGCTTTCCAACTTGTTCTTCAAGTAGAATCCGACCAACTCTTCTTCCGTCGGATAGAACCTAAAACCCGGCGGAATTCCCTCCATTCCTTTGTCTCTCCTCTCTTTCCAATATTTTTTTATATATATATCCTTTATTCATTTCTACACACGGAATGATGTACATCTATATATATAGGGATATATACATATATATATATATATGTGTATATATATAGAGTGTGTGTGTGTGTATGGATATGTGTGAGATAAAGAGTAAAGAAAGAGCTAGGAAATTGCAAGATATGAAAGGAAGAAAATTTTGATATTTGCATGAATTTTCTTCGAAAGTTACACCTTGACATCGTCGTTGCCTTTATATGACACGTGGTAATTAGACACCAAATAATTATGTTTCTTTTTTTTTTGTTTCTTTTGCAAACTATACAACAAAAAAAGAAACGAATTTGGGACCATACCAAAAAAGTTTGCACATTTGAAAACTATACAAATTTTTTAAAAAATTCCCAAGTATACCATTGTTTTTTTTTTCCAATTACCGATGGCAATGCAAAAAGTCACCGCCATAAAAAAATAAAAAATCTCAATTTCATTTTATTCTCTATTCGAAAATTCGAACTCTGCAACTTGGACTCAAATCTCTCAAATCTAATTTATCAACCCTAATCCACTTTTTCAAATCTCTAAAAATGTATAATTATCCTTTTCGCTGCGTGTTTATTTTATAAACGTAGAAATTATGACCGCTGCCTTTCAGATACGCGAAAAAACTCTCTGATGTCATGCCATAGTCTGCAAACCAGTCGAAACTAACTGAGAAGGGTTGAACCCGCAATCTCATGGATCAACGTATTCGATTTATTATGTTGTTTTAGTTTTCGTTTTACCGATATGATGTCGTATGCTTGATTTGTTCTACGAGAGAAGAAACGCACTCTTATTCCATGCAAAGGTCTGATATGATGCTGAATTACGGAAGAAAGACTGAATTGTAAGAAAACACATTTATTGGAAATCTTGTTTGATCTTCCTTGATTCCAATTGCAGAGAGCTTCGATCCTTCTAATGGGCTGAACCAATCTTCGCTAGGCCCATGTCCAAGTTCACTCTTGCTCACATGTATGACGTTTGGGCCCATTCTTCAAGTCTCCATTGATTGCTTCCATCTAATATCTCGACATATCAATCTGGGTTCTACAAGATTTTTTGTCTGATTTAATTACGAAAGAGATTCTGATCCGAGAACCCCATTTGAGATGGCTGGCTCACGATTACGGCTAGCCAAGGGTTACGATATTACTATGAGATTTGATCCAAAATATCCTGTAAACAAATAAATAAATTACCTGTCGGTTTTATTCAACATTAGTTTTTCCATGATAAAGTTTTTAATAAAACAATCTATACTAGATGTCTAAGAGAGAATATTATAAACATACATCCACATTATCTAGACACTCATATTATATTCTTCTTAGTAGTGAAGAAGAGTATAATATGTGTTCCATTAGATAATGTGGATCCCACTATATGTCTGTTTACAATATTATATTATTATTTTTAATTATTTTACATATTTTTATATATATTTTTAAAAAAATTTAAATATTTTGTTTTTTTAGTCTGTTGGTGAACCAATTCACGATGTGAAGCGATTTGGATCGACGCAGAATTTGTGTTGTTAACGGACCACAAAAACTTTCTGCTTTGTTGAAGTGAGGCCCAACTGAAAGCCCAATAACAAAGGTCTCCACGGAAACCCTAGAAACGGAAGACTTATAAAACCCTCCTCATCGTCGCCTCT